TACCTCAAATTAGAAAATTAATAAACTACAGCTGGGCTAGTTCTGTCATCCACTTAGTGGTGTCCTTTAAGAAATCATTTGTGTCCTCTTTAATATTATTAGTGTATCCAAAAGAAATTAATAGACCCCAAACCACAACATGGTAGAAGCCTACCATGATTTATAGATAACAGAATGACAGCCTAGCAGTCAAAAATTCAAGCTTGGAAGTCATATGAAAAGGGCTCATACCCCAGTTCTGGTACCTATTTGCAAAACGTGCTTTATCTTCTCTAGGCCTCACCTTCCTCTTGCACAAAATGGAGATTATAATGGTCCATACATAATCCCTAACATGTAGCATCATCATAATGGGAGATGATGACTCTTGTATACTCTAGCAGATTGAGTACTAGAATACTAGTGGGACACAAAATGAAAACAGCTAAATGTCTCATGAGACTTCACAGGGTTGACATCCATCACTTAATAGATAACAGAAAATAAAGTATAGTTGCCAAGCCTAGCTTGCCTTACTTCAGCTTCTAGATAGAATATAAGTATCCCAAGTCAGTATCTTTCATCAAGAACACCAAGCATCTGTCCCTCCCTACCTAAGCTTTGATTTTGATAATCGTTTAAGCAGAACTCACAGGACAAAGAACCATCAAGTGACCAGAGTGTGAGAGGTGGGAGTACTTCAGAGACTCTGCCAAAGCCCCGCAGTTCACTGATGGCAGCATAGGACCTGGACTCTGCACTCTGCATCTGTTTCCTTTCACCATTTCCTTTTAGTCTTGTTCCTGAATCTTGAAAGCATTGATTTTTAATAACATTTGATGTATTGCATTTGAGATTTCATAATGTCGTGGGCTATACAATAAGCAAGGAGTTTGAAGACATTAATTCAAGTCTCAGTTCTGCCAGGTACTAATTGCGTTGTCTTCGACAAGTCAGTTCCCTTATCTGAATCTCCAAGTTCACGTCTATTTAAGGGGAATAATAATATCTGCACTTCTTGTCTTTCTGGAATTGTTACAAGGTTTAATGGGATGTATATGAAAGCACACTGTAAACTGCATTATGCTATGCGAATGTAAGAGTATTATTATTTAAAGAAATTGTCCCCAAATTTCCTTGTATCTTCTATCATATCCCTCATCCTGTGATTTGAGTTTTTCAGAGTCCCTTTCTCAAACCCCTGCCTCCATTTTTTCAGAAGGCTATGTCTCAGTAATAACCCTTTAAGCCTAGCCTTTGACTAATAATTTGGTATGGGAGGAAAAAATAAGGCTTATTTAGTAAAATTATACCAATCCTGGAGGAAAAAATAGGATTACCTAGAAAAACATTATGTGAAGCACTTTCCAGCATTATTTTTTTCAAAAATCTCAAATGTTTAAGAACCGTATAAAAATTGGCTAAGAGGGACATCTCAATATCACCTGCTATGTCGGTCTGAGTCATCAGGTAGTCATTTGCCACCCCCCAAAAATTTCTAGGTGAAAATCAAATTACCTTAGAGAATACAGGAAACTATAGTTTTGAAGATGTATAGCTTGATATGTCTCTGCTTTTTCCCTGTCGTGACGGAAAAGAAAAGTGTTAGACAGACCCAAGCTTAAGTCCATGGCTTACACCATTCACTGTTTGTGGGGTCTTGGGCAAATAACTTTTTGTCTCTAAACAATGTTATTTGTTTTATCTGAAAAAACAATGAGGTCAATCATGTCAGTCTAGTGGGTGCTTTAGGGTTCTTGATTATGGTATTTGTTTTAGCTTGTATCTTTCGGTTTTCTGCAACAGAGACCACACACATAACCCAAACCAAGAGGTCCTATTATAAAGACATGTGAAGTAACAAAAACAAAACTCTTGGAAAGGAGAGAGCAGGAGGCACTGGGACTGGGCCTCACCAAGTGTGGAGATCGGACCCTCCCATTATTGGTAATTCAGCAGCGAAACTTGTAAAATCTCACCCTGGTTCAGGCTGTTGGGTTGACTCTACTGCTCTTTGTGGTTTTTCTTTTGTGATTCCCCTACCGACTGGCTTTTTCACTTATGCTTCCCCAAAGCACAGGTCAACTAGGTCCCTCAATCTCAGTTCTATCTTTTGACATCCTTTCGCATACTAAGTTGTTCACTTGCTGCATATTTCCCAGTGCATAGTTTTTGAGGAAACATCCAGTTCATAGACTAGCTCATTTAATTCATGCCAAGGAAGGTTTTTTTGCTTAGATTATGAATGGTCACCCCTCCAAAATTGAGTCCACCGGCTGTCAAAGAGATAAGGAGTTATAAACATGGTACCTTAGACATGTACCTCTTCAGCAAGGATGGTGACTTAAGTTCCCATAAAGAAGTAGTATGTGCTGTGTGTAATAGCTTGGGTTCTAGAATTTGCTTGAATTCAAATCCTGACTTTGATGGTTTCTAAAGATGTGACCTTAAGAAAGTTACTTAATCTTGCTGAGTCTCAGTTTCCTCATCTGAAAAATAGCTATGATAGTTATACCTCATAGGAGTATCATTGAATTTTAAATAACAAAAGCAAAGCAGTAAGCATCTCAGTAAATGCTAACTATATCCATATTAAGCGGAGGTGTGTGGGCAGGCACCGTGAAACAGGTCTGGTATAACACATAAAGGTGTCCCATTAACAATCGTTCAACTCTTCTTTGTGTTGAGATAAACACTGACCCCCAGGATATATCTGCTTCATATTTCTTTCTGTAACCCTGATGAAATCACTGCATGCCTTACTGAGGAAATGGGATGCTACAGGTTTTTATAAAGTGAGTGTTATCCCTTCTCACTGGAATTGGGTAGCAGGATCTCAGTTTACCACCACCGTGCCCATTCTATGCTGGATGGAGACTGGAGGCAGGCCTACTGAGCAGCGTAATGAATGTCAGAGATGAAGCCTTCGCCAGGGGCTAGCATGTTTACAGAACTGTCAAGTAATTTCTTCTGGCATTTCTCCATCACGGTCTTGGGAAATCAGGTTTTCACACAAAAGAAAACACAGTGAGCTAAAATATACGTGAGATGAGATGCTGTGTTTGATTTGGAACATAGAAATTCTTTTTATTGTTATACAGTGATGTTTTATTTCATTGTGTTGGAAAATGGCCTATTTCACAGAAGTGAAACTTCTACATAGCTGAAGTTTTCCCATTTCAGCTCTGAAACTATTTTTTATCCTTCTTTAATGGGAGTCTTCCTAAAATGTATCACATACTTCTTTCTTCTTAACAGAAGTTGCAAATTTAAAGGCTAGCTAACATTTATTGAGTACTTACTATATATGTAGCAATATCAATTCCTTCCAGAATTCTGTGAGATAGTTACTATCATAACATCCATTTTACAGATGAGGAAATGGAAACTTAGAGAAGTTAAGTAACTTATCCAAAGTTACACAGGTAGAAGTGATGGAATTGGTATTCACGCCCGGGTCTTCCCAAACTCTTTACAACCTGGCCATGTTATTGGAGAACATTTTGGTTAATGAATGACCCAATAACTATTAACCTCCAAAGTTAGATCTTTGAAAGTCTACACATACATTTCACGAATGTGTCCATTACTCTGAGCATCCCTTGACCACTTTTTAAAAGGAGTTAGTATATAAACTGGCATCACATATTTTTGAATATTCATATTTCTTCATTCAGCAGATGTTACTTGAGTACTTACTATGTTACTGTGCCAAGCACTCTGGAGGCAAAGAAATATAAGGCATACAGCTGCCTTCAAGGAGGGCATACATTAAAGGTACTCCAATGGGGCAATATGTAAAACCTGCCTGATTGTAGCCAGGAAAACCTTAATAAGGTGGTGATTCTTGAAACTATTTTTCAAGGAAGCTATGCTCATCACCAAAATAAATTCTCTATGAATGAGACTGATGAGTTGAGACCAGGTGTAATTAGCTGCTTCCTTTGGCTTCAAAGAGGCCAAGGAAGAAATAGGTAAGCTGTACTTAAGAAGCTTTAGTCAGATGCTAGTGGGCTTTGGGCTAGAACGAGGACTTTGGTTTCCATAACTGAGTCTTTCTTAGATTGTGGCTTACGAAAACAGGAAGGATATTAGAACCACACCTGGTGGAAAAAAATACATGTTCGATGGGATGTGTTTTCTCATTTGATTAGTAATTGGGTGTTAAATGCAATTCTCAATTGTAGCTCTTAAAAAACACACATTTCGAAGTATTGGTAGCATCATTAGAAGCAAGTATATCATTTTCTAAGGCAATGACTTTGACATATGTAATAATTTTCTTATTTCAAAAGTAATGTCTTAGTAGAAAATACCTGATAACTTCTCTCATCCAGAGATAATTAAACATTCTGAAACAAATCCTCATCATTCCCATATCCATTGGTTCATGTCTTTGATCTCTTTTCTTCAAGTCACCCTCCTCCAGCTGGATATAATGTTGTCTCTTGATGCCTCATATTCACCGTATGGGGGATGTTGATGGCACAGTGCTGGTGTAACTTTGTGTGATGATTTAGGTGTGATGATTGGTTCGAGACCTTTTAAATTATAGCTTTTTTTCTCTTTCTCATAGATTGGCTAATGGCCATTGTGTCTGGCTGTTTTCCATATATCTTCTTATAATTCCTTCCTAGTGTATTTTTTACCCACGATTAAGTGCTGGAATGGCTAATGATCAGGCTAGTCAATATATGTTTTTAAAGTAAGACTAAGGTTCTGAGAGAGAGCAAAGGGGCTATCTTTCAAATTAGAATGTAAACTCTGCAACTGCTATTTTAACTGCCAGGAAAGCATTGCTTGTCAATAGAGATAATTGAGTTTTGCTTTATTGGTGACATTGAGCTAAGTGCCATTACTATTAGGCATACTTTTCCGGAAAGAAAAAAAGAAGAAAAAGGAAGGAGAGAGGAACGGGGGGAGCCTGAAAGGGAGGGGTAGGGAAGAGAGAAAAAGCCAGGCCAGTGCTTTCTTTTGGATCTCATTTTGAATTTCTCTCTTTTCACATTTGCTGTTCACAGTGGTTTAAACTTCATTGACTTGATGGTGCGACAAGGGAATATCGACAACCCTCCCAAGACTCCCCTGGTACCAGGTTTTGAATGTTCTGGGATTGTTGAAGCTCTGGGGGACAGCGTGAAAGGATATGAGGTAATGTTTTGACTGGAATCCACTGACATAATAAAAGTTATGTGAAAATGCTTGAAATAATCTATGACATATTGTTATTGATGTCTTACTGTTTGGTTTTATAGCAATGTTTGTATATGATAGGACTTTTCAAATGTTTCATGCCTTTCTCATGTACTGTCTTGAGGCTCTTGGCAACAGTCTGGTGACCAAAGGAAATCTTGTCCTCTCTTTTATTCATATTATACAGCTATTAAATAAAAGCATTTGGCCTTGGATTAATTAATTGTGCATACTCCCTTCTCCCAACAAGGCTTTCATTTTCCCATCACCTCAGGCTCAAAAATCAATTACAAAATACAAAAGTTGGGGAGAAATAACCTCTGTATCTTATAATTTGATTCCTTTAAATATCTACTTAACTAATGCATCTAAATGATCACTTATAAACCATTATTTCAGACATTGGCGAGGTGGCATTTTTGAATGATGACTTTAAAGCCTAAGGATAGAAGTATCTGACAATGGGACAAAACTGGCCATTGGTAGATGGACTTAGGAGTAGGGCAATGGATATGTAAGAAGGGTTATTATGTCATTCTGACTACTTTTTTACATGTTCAAAATTCTCCAAAATAAAAAAAAAAAATCAATTGGTGAAAAGACGTATGACTCTTCCCACCAATAAAATGCAAATAAAATAGAATCCATTCTGTAAAAACTGAAAAAACTGTGGGCAAATCAATTGCACAGAATTTCAGTAGTTTGGAGTCAGAAAAACCATGGATATCAAGTAAAAGAGCTCTCGCTTACAAGTACTTCCCCAGGGAGACATGAATGGAGCTAACATTTGAGAATCCACTATAATCAGAAACATGGGCAAGTTATCTTTGTTCAGCCTCACCACAAGCCTGTGGTAAAGATTGTTATCGTCTCCTTAGAGATGAGGTGCAGAAGAGTTTAGTAATTTTCTGCGAGGTCCAAAAGGTGGTAAGTAGTAGTTGAACCTGGATTCAAGTTATCAGAGCCTTTTCTCTCTTTTTTAAATCCTATGATCTTGACTCCTGCTCCCAATCTGCAAATGTAGTACTAAACACAGGAGGAAAAATCCTATAAAATGCAATGCCAAAATGCCCTTGGAGTTGAATTTGAGCTTGCTGCTTAGTCTCAGTATATCTGAGCCTCAGACTCTGAAAATATCAATATGATCCAAATTCGTTATGTTAAATTTCCGGAAATCTCATCCCACCCATCAGTCTTTCTGTCAATGGTTTCTAGATAATAGAGCAGAAGACGTTTGAGAAAGAAGAAGTAAGTGCCCTTTTTTTTGCCTTTCATATGACTTCACATTTTCTGTCCCCGGGTAAACAATATAACCAGAGGCAGCACTATCTCTCTCTGAAAGTGCTGCATATAAGAAATATTATCTGCTCTTCACTCCTCCACACCATCCCAAAGGACAAGATCATACTACAAATTCTACTAATCCTGAGCATTAGATAACCTATTATTTTAGAATATTAACAGTAGGTAGTGTTGTTGTTGGCTTTGCTTTAAAGGGAGAATTTACTATGCTTGATTATATACATTTAAATTGTCACAAAGATTAAAGCACCTGCCCAATGTTATGCAGCTAGAGAGCAGCTAGGCCAGGATGGAAAGCTAGGTAGGCTGACTCCAGGTACCAATAATTAATTCATCATGCCTAAGGTAAGTGCTATCAAGAAGACATGAAGTAATCAAGGGTATACAACAGGGGAACCTACCAAGTCTGGTATGATCTTTCTTCTGCTAGTTTGCTCTGGCTTGCTTATTGTCAAACCTACCCTTCACCTCCCACTCCCTTCCAGTGACTTTCAGAGGCACAAATAAAAGAAACCACCTACAGATTTCTAGTCAGGGTGTGATTTTGGAGAAAACCAATACTAATATTCCCTCTATAATTTTGACTTAGGGTTTTCGATCACGTTGGAGATGGAATTCCATGCAGCAGCATGCTGAACAATTCTCTTGGTTGATCGATTGCAACAGAGGCTTGAAAAATTGTTACCAGAGGCAGAGCCGTAAAGGAATAATTTGGGCTCCATTGCCCACGAGTAATTTTTTTCATAATAGAATCAAATAATAAAGTAAATTGGATTATTTTTTAAGTTACCTATCTCTGGACTCTGAGACTGGGGCTGATTAGGATGGCTTAGCTACTTTTTCCATTTTTATAATGAAATGGAAAAAGATGGAGCAAAGTTGAATGAGTAGCATGAAGCAGTCAGCCTTACTGTGATGGCAATGACCATCACTGTCCATCAAGGTAACTGTAATACTCTCTTCACTGCACTCTGTGTTTATACTGGAGGCCACTGGCTACTCTGGGGTACTGAGTCTGTATCTTTGGGTTTTCAAGATTCTATGCAAAAGAGGATGACAGTGTTAGACCTCAGTGATCCTCTGGTCTAAGCCATTGCATTTAAGACAATAGTCCCAGCATTTGTCATTTGGTCTTCAACCCACCCAGGGATTAAGACACTCACTACCAGTGGGACAGACTCTCATTTCCATCAGTTTCTTCATTAGACAGCTATCCATTCTGCTTCATAAAATATGAGTCTGCATTTAGCTTTTGATCATTAAACTGTGGATTCCATGAGATCAGGAACCAATCTGTTCTTTTTAGGAGATAACTTGATTGTTCTTTCCTCATTTTGCATGCACCATGCCAAGTGCATTGCATGCATATTATGATATTTAATCTTCGTAAGGACCTTTTCCTAATATTATACCTATTTTAGAGCTGAGAAAACTGAGACTTAAAGAGTTAAACTAACATTCCCAGACTTGGTAGGTTCCCCTGTTGTATACCCTTAATAACTTCATGTCTTCTTGATAGCACTTACCTTAGGCATGATGAATTAATTATTGGTACCTGGAGTCAGCCTACCTAGCTTTCCATCCTGGCCTAGCTGCTCTCTAGCTGCATAACATTGGGCAGGTGCTTTAATCTTTGTGACAATTTAAATGTCTGTAAAATCTATGATCATTTATCTGTAATATGGGACTCTTACAGAGCTCTTCTCATAGGAGGCTTTTGTTGTTTGTTGAGTAGGGGTAGAAGAGAAACGTGCTAAGGTACAAAGAAATTAAAGCAGTAGAATCAATTTTAAATATATATAAACTAAAACACATAAATATATGAAAGCCATTAATTTATTAAGAATTCGCTATGACTACAACAATTTGAATATTATATTTGAAAGTACAGTACAAGCCACTAACATAATCAAATAGCAGAATGGTTCACTTTAATTAGCACTTGGCAGCTCCTACAAGCTGTTAGTATTATTTCACTTATTTGTATTTCCTTTAGTAATGATATGCTATGAAAAAAACTTAGCACACTATCATAACCACTTTAAAGGGATGACTGCTCTTTTTATTTATCTATTTATTTTTATATTTTTTGCATAGTGTCTGGATGTAAATATAAAAAAGAACACACTATTTAGCCATGCCTTAACCAGGGTTTTGTAAAGATCACATAAATGGAAACATGTGATATCCTTAGGACAATGTCTGCCATATAGTACTCGTGCGATAAATGTTAGCGGTTCCTCACACCTGGTGGCATGCTCCTATTTCACTCTCAGCCTGGTTACTCTTGTTTAGTCACCTGCACTTAGATTTATATGGTTCTTCTGATGCACCAGGTTCACATCCACTGGGACTGGAATTCAGTGCTAAACTCTGACACAAATACTACAATGAACTAGCCTGTCAGGGAATCTGTATGGGGTGGCAGAGACCAAATGAGCAGTTTTACGCCTAGCCTTGTCCCTTTAACCTTCCGTGTGGCTCAGTTTTCCCCAGCTCCAAAACAGAGAGATTAGATGAGAGCTTAAGTCAGTGAAATGATCCTCCAACACTAACATTCCACAGTATGTGATGTGATGTACACTGTATTTACGCTCAGGAAGAGAAGTAGAGAACCTGGCTCCCATAGCCCCTGGAAAGTTTTCATAGATGGGCTTCAGAGCATCCACAAATGCCTTAAAATTGGGAGGCAGGTGAGGGTGTGCATATTTGAGGGTTTTGTTTTTTTTTTTCTGAGGAGGAATCTATAGTTTTCATCAGATTATTATTTGAGAAATCCCTCAAAAAAGGTTATAAAACCTCTACTAACCCAGTGCTTCCTTATATCTATCCAGATTGGGGACCGTGTCATGGCATTTGTCAATTACAATGCCTGGGCAGAGGTGGTCTGCACGCCTGTAGAGTTTGTCTACAAGATCCCAGATGACATGAGCTTCTCTGAAGCTGCTGCATTCCCCATGAACTTCGTCACAGCCTACATGATGCTCTTTGAAGTTGCCAACCTCAGAGAAGGGATGTCTGTGCTCGTGCACTCGGCTGGTGGTGGTGTGGTAAGTTGGCTGCTTGTGAGTCCTCTTCCTCGATATCATTATGGTGAAAGTGGAGGGATGCTCAGGTGACAGTGAGATTCCTATATGAGATCTATGTCCATTAGGAGGGATGATCTGTGTGGTTCTGGTGAAGCTCATGTGGACAGAAGAGCTCATAGAGATGACTGTGTTGGGGATAGGGTGAGCCTCAGGGATGGTTTCTCTGGAGTTCGGGAAGGTCTCCAAGGTGATATGTTAGGACTTAGTGGGTCTCAGAGACAGTTTCTGTCCCGAAGCATTGTCAGTCTTGGTGTCAATCACTGTGAGATGCCTTACAGTCCTGTACCACTGTTATTTGAAATGCCAAAATGGTGGATGAGTTACCTTTTCAATAAATTGCCATGGATTCTAGATTGTTCCCATATTAATGACATCCTTATTCATTTGTATTCTGATTTACTTTCTTGAGTGGGAGAGAGGTAGCTGGAGATTGTACTAGGACAATGGGAATTACACATAAACCTAAGTGTACTCATGAGGGTTGTTGCACATGCAAATGTCATCTGTCAGGTGTGTTTTTGACAAGGGGGAGAATAATGGAATTAAAAGCTGATGCTCTAGAGTTCAGGGGTGGGAGAAATTTCTTTCAGGGTGTGGATGTATCTCAGAGCCAGTCACTCAGTACATATTACATGCCTGCCACATGGCAAGCACTATGTACCAGTCATGGTCTACTGGGGTGGGAGTATAAGTCTATAGTCTTTCTAAGACTGAAAGGTGTTACTCATTAATTCAAGTATTTATTGAAAACATACTATATTCTGGACTCTATGGGTAAGATATAAGCAAGAGAAGGTCCTGATATATAGTCTGATTTTTGAGAAGTTCTCAGTGTTGCTGATTCTGTGATTTGATGAACTCAGAGATGAACTCTTATGGTTGGGTCTAACTTGAATATATTTTCACTGGAGGTTATGCTAACATCGATTTTTTAAAAACTTGGCTTTCAACATTTCTCAAAACCTTACATAATATAAAGCACATTTCTATTTTTCCTTCTGAGAAGACAAGCTCACATACAAAAAACAGGAAAGCAAAGAGCTGAAGCTTTAGGAATGCCTAAATAGGAGTATCTTCAATCATTTTAGCAAAATTTGCTGATGTCTTTTGATCATGAGTACAGATATAATAAAAGCTAAATACCCCTTAGAAAAGAAATGGATTCCAGTGCCAAGTAATCTGCTAATGGCAAGGAAGCCATTTAGAATTCTGGCATTTATAATCTTAGTTTATTCAGCATACAAAGCATTAGAGACTTGTTTTCATATTATCAACATAAGCTCCCATCTTTATGATGGTGCTAAACTCAGTTCTGCTGTGAGTCAGTGTTTAAACATTGGCACTGATGATGTTTCCTTTCATGTTTTTTTTTTTTTTTTCATTTGTTTGTTCCTGGAACAAAGGAGAATGTGTCAAGAGTATGTGTCTCACAAAAGAGAAAAAAAAATCTTCAAAAATAAAAAAATTTTTTACCATGCCTTATTCTGGGCTTACAGATATTACAATAAGAACTAAAATGTGAAACAGATGAAGGAACCGGGGGGAAAAAACAAGGGTAAGAAAATAAGTTGGCATATATAATGCAGGTTATGATGTTCTAAAGCTTTATTGAAGATGGACAACAATCTTGGCTTAGCTTCCTTATTTTCCAAATAAGTCAAAATGACCAGCCATGGGAGCGAGTATTCATTTGATGGAAATAAACCAGTTGCTATTAAGGAAAACCATAATAGTACTAGGTTTTGAGCCCAGGGGAATATTTCTCTGTGGTTTCTCATAAGAAATGTATGAACATACTCAACAAAACTTATGGTAAATGCAAATATTACCATATTTGCTTTTTCTTATGGTGTACCCCTAATATACTAATGGTGCCAAAGTAAAGCAAAGTATAGTGAAAGCAAATATTCTGGGGCCAAAAGGATGTGGTTTGGCTTAATCTGAAGCCAGTTTAAAGGTGTGGTTGCACATCTCTCAGGTGAGTGGGTCTCCCAACCCAGATTTGATAGGTGGTGTGCAGCACTGAATTCAAGGTTACCATTAGAGTAAAGACTTGGCCAAGTACACATCCATGTATGTGAATACTCAATCAAGCTGGAGTGGAATTGACACTGTCTCACAAAATCTAAGAAAACCCAGACCGTTCCACCACCCACAGTGGAAAGACCAGTGAGTCACCCCCAGGCAGAACTGGATTCCTTCCAAGAAGACAACCAGCCACTGCTCTTGTGGTGGGGGAGCTCTCTGGGGGCACTTTTATGTATTATCTTTGTTACCCTGGAGAGGAATGGATGTGCTTCCCACCACTGTTGGACAAATCTGATAAGTGCAGCCATTGGCTGCAGGGTACTGTGGCAGGCAGGATAATGACCCCCCCAGAGGTCCACATCATAATCTCTGGCACCTGTAAGCATGATAGCTTACATAGTAAAAGGAATTTTGAAAATATGATTAAGGTAAGGACCTTAAAATGGAGAGATTAGCCTATCTTATCCAGATGAGCCCACTGCAATCACAAGAGTCCTTAGATGAAAGAGGGAGGCAGAAAAGTCAGAAAGAAATTTAAAGATGCTGCACTGCTGGATTGACAATGGAGGGAGTACCATGAGCCAAAGAACCAATGAATGTGGGCAGCCCTTAGATGCTGGAAGAGGCAAGGAAATGGATTCTCCACCTGGAGCTTCCAGAAGGAACATAGCCCTTGATTTTTGCTGAGTGAGACCCATTGATTTTTGCTGAGTGAGACCCATTTTGGACTTCTGACCTCTAGAAATGTAATATAAATTTGTGGGGTTTTTTTTTTTTTGAACCATTCAGTTTGTGGTAATTTGTTACAGCAGCAACAGGAAGCTAATACAGCCATTTTCTTGGGCTGCCCCATTTTTCACTGTGGAGAGCCCACAGAGGCCTGAAGAAAGTGAAGTAGCAAGTAGCAAGTAGCAGAACTATAATTCATACCCTCATCTGGCTGATTCCCAAACCAATTCTCTTTCCATTCCACAACCTAGAATGTTGGAAGAACCCAAATCATTCATTCCTTCATTTATTCATCTGTTTAACAAATATTTATTCAACTTCTGCCCAAAAGAGCCAAAAGTGGCCCAATCATGTTTCTTATCTTGATGTTGAAGAGGTGACAAAGAAGATTAAATCTAATTAGAAGAAAATTTCCTAAATTGAGTTAATATTCTGTGTGCAGTTCTAATGGCACCAAGATTTCCGTCTGATTTTTATCAAAGGCTGGGATGGGGAAATTGCAGACGGAATGTGAGAAATGCTAGCCTAAACAGTAATTTTGAAGGAAACGTTTAAATAGCACAGGAAAATAATTTGATCCAAAGCAAGTTTCTTTCTCAGTGGAATTACCCATGTGTCTACACATCTTTGAAGATGTTGTTTTTCTCTGACAATAGCACAACGAAATGATCTGAAGGATAATGCCTCTAATCGAATCTTTCAAAACTGGTTGAAAATGGGCTTACAATATCTTAAAGGAAAAGTAACAAAATAAGGAACCGAGTGCGGCTCACGTCAGGATCTTCAAGATGAGGGTTGTGCTGCCAATTCCATTTAACAAGCTGCTGTGACTTTCAGTATCTTGACTAGAGATGTGCTCAGTTTTTAAAAAGTAACATTACAGTTACTATGTGGTTATTTGCACCTATGTCTGACATTTGATGTTTTCCAGTTTTTAGAGTCTTTTTACCTTTTTCATCATCTCATCTGAACAGAGCGAGTAGCAGCCTGATTTGGGCCCCAGATCTTGGAAAGGAAAGCAGAACTTAACTTTCAGATAGAGTTAAATTGCTACCACTCAATTATTAAATTCTATTCATTATGGATGGGGCATTTCCCAGTGTCATACAAATCACTTCAAAGGAGAAACCACAGAAGGGAGGGGTGAAATCTATAAAGGGGGCATCCTGAGGCTCCCCAACCTCATTTATGGGCCTGTGTGCTGATGGTCCTCCCTGAGTGGCTGATTAACCACACATAGTTTTAACACTAAACTGTGAGTGCCTGGGGGTGAGTAAGAATCCTCAATGTGTTGAGGATTTGGATATGTTGGATAGTCATTCAATTTCAGCAGAAAAGACACGACCCTCTGCAAAATCACTATGGGAGAATACTTTGTGGAGAACAAAACCTATCGTTAATCATGAAAAGGTACTACTCATCTACCCAGCAACCTAAGAATCATGGCTAGCTCTTCCCCAACACGCTACAAGTCTCCAAATCCTATGACTCACTCCTTTATTCATTCACTGATCTAACACATATGTAGTGAGGGCTTGCTCGGTTTGAGTTAGGCACTAGGTATTCAGTAGAGAATATGCCAGATTTTCTTCTTCCGATGAGAAGTCCTATAAATCAAAGGTGGGCACACGGACCAAATAATCACATGAAGAAAGGCCAAGTGCTATGAAAAAGAGACGCGAACTAACATGAGTGCTTATATAAGGGACCTGACCTGGGACAGAAGTGAAGGATATAATCAGGGAGAAGTGGCGTTTGCACTCCAATCTGAGGCTGATAAGCAGGTAAATTGAACCAGAGTGGGAGTGGGGGTGGAGGGTGGGGCAATGGTGAGAAGTAGAGGTGGGGGGAGGGCATTCATGAGACATGGAACTGGGGGTGGGCATTCATGAAAGGTAGAGATGGGGGTCAGATAGCCTTTCATATAAAGAAATCCAGACAATAGGATATTTCTTAAATCTTCCTGTCTCTCTCTGTCCCATCGACGGCTGTTTCACTTCTGGCCTCAGCGTCTCTACCCCAGATTATTGTAGTACACATTTAACTGGCTTCCTAGCCGCAATTTCCTCTCTCTTAAATCAGATCTTTACTCACAGCCAGAGTGGTTTTCCCAACACACCAATCTGCTCTTGCTTATAATTGACAGAGACTCTCATTGTTGTCAAGAAAAAGTTCTCCTTAGCTTCTTGGCACAAATAGCCCTT